TTCTTCTTCTTCTTCTTCTTCTTCTTCTTCTTCTTCTTCTTCTTCTTCTTCTTCTTTATCAGAGTAGAGATAGAGGTAACTGCAGACATTGTTTGTACACGGCCTTCTGCCTTATTGGACACGACATTCAGATCGGACTTACACTCTACATTGGGATTGGACTGTGTACGACATTTGGAGATCAGACTTGGGTTAGACTTGCTTGCCTATGTCTCCCCCCTCTCTATCTCGCATGTCTATGGATCTCTCCCCATGTGTGTGAGCGGAAGGGCAATCTTTCTGATGTCTTGCCCTTCCGAAGTTTATCCATTTCTGTCTGTTCACGTGTCCTTTGGTTACTAGATATTCCGCTGCGCTGCTGCACAGCCCATGATGATAATGATACGAATGTGTTGTTGTTGATTTCTTGTTGGGTTGCTCTTTGCATCATGCACATTGACATCTTGTGAATGCTGCACCTATGCTGCTGGTTGGTGCCGCTTTCGTCATTGCTAGATCCTAGGCTGTCTGTGCATTTCACTTTCTGATATGCTACAGCAGGTAACTCAAATGACTCTGACAATACACTCAGACATTGTGGAGGCCTGAGGACCATTGCTTCAACAAGCAGGACAGCTGCGCCATATAAGGAAGGGGTTGGGAGCAGACCACCAATATATGCTGTGGGTTCGAGTTCAGGTCTGTAGCTCGGCAGTTATGGGTCACCAATTCAGCTAGACCCTGTTCGTGTCTCCATGTGATTCTCAGGGCCTGGCTCCACTACTCACCAAATGTATAACATTAGAATGAATCTTGTGCTAAAACATGGAACCATACACCGCCGTATGGTATGTCTTTTGTGCATGTGGTAAGTAGTGGAGAGAGGCCCCTTGGGCCACTGTAAGTATTCATAAGAAAACAAAAAGAAAAAAACGAGAGAGCTACAGGCATCTTCATCCTAACCCATAACTGCCGACATGCAGACCTGAATGCCAATCTTCAGCATTTATTGGTGGTCGGTTGGCCTCACCAAACATATTTTGTGACTTCTGCGAGACAGTATTGGGCAGGACGCTCTTGGGCAATTGCACCCTTCTCGCAAATTCATCCACCCCTGTGTGGGATTTGCAGAAGGGAGGGGGAAGGCCAGTTACCACACCTAAATAAGAAAACTGGAATGAGCTCCAGTTACCACACCTAAATAAGAAAACTGGAATGAGCTCTATTTTCATGATCCGTGATTTCAAAATTTTGGGGGGGAGGGGCGTGCGGAATTTGAAATCCGGCAGCCGTTGCCGAAAAACAAAATTTCGGGCCAAGGGCGCGGCCGGTTTCCGAACTCGCACTGCAAGTTGAACATTTTTGCCCGGAGGGGGGGGGGGGAGCGCAGGAAATTACGAAACTCCTACTACTTTTTTTTCGAACCTTGATTTTTCCGGTGCGGTGTGCGGTGCGGTGCACAGCGCGTGCGCAAATCCGCGCACCGAGGTGCGCTGCAACTATATGGTTTTCACGGCTTTTGTTGCCGACCAGCTCCTTTTTAGGTCGATTACTCGTGGTTGGTTCACTGTTTTGTATGTTATTTTGGTTTTACTGGCCAGTTAAAAGAAGGGGAAAAAATGCTACCCTACCTTGTGTTGCGTTTGTTCATGGATTGACTGTGTGGTGACCTCTTCTCTAGTTTAGCGCTTGCTTTGGGCTATGGTGCGTATGTGGAATACAGCAGAACTATGTCTCTATTTCATGAAAAGTTAGGGGCTATGGATAGGGTTTTACTTTTCAGAGGGGGGTCGTTTAATTGCTTGAGAAGTTAAATTTGGAAGATTGTCTGATCTTCTGTTTTTTGAACTTTTTTCCCTTTTTTCAAAAAACTTTCAGTGCTGCTGAAATTTCTACTTGACCCTGGGCAAAAACTCGTTTGCGGTGTCACCCTCCACAACACACATTTTTCCCCAGATTCCATCACTTTCTGCCCCTGCCCCCCCCCCCCCCCCCCCCCCCCACACACACCCCAAATCCTATTTTGCGCTTGGGTCGGACTTTTTTTATCAGGATGCACCTGGGAAGACTGATCTGGCCGGATGAACCAGGACCAAAAAGGTGGTCTGGCTGGATTAGCCTGCGGACAACAAAATGGCCTGGATATCTGGCTGTGCTGTCTGTGTCAGTTGCTGCGGACTCCAAAGATCCCTGGAGTGGCCTGCAGTGGCCCAAAGTTGGGCCCCTTTCTGTTATGTTTTTGCCTTTTTTTGCACCCAAAGCTTTACTATCAATATATTTGGTCCCCTTAGAGTGTGCAAGTCCCAGCATTGCCCTGCGAAAGGCTAGATTGCATGAAGCTAGTTTCTGCAGTTGCAAAAGCTTATGGGCCTTCAGTGGCATATTCTCGTTTCGGGTGGGGCATGGGGGATTTACAGGGGTGTGTATGCGGGAAGGGGTTGTGTTGCATACCGTAAAGGTGCAGACAGAACAAGAACCGACCTCTCAATGCAAAGTACAAGATGGCGAAGCGGAAGACTTAGATACCAGTGATCCGAACAATCAATATTGCAATGCAGCCCTGAACATACATCATCATCATCATGCCATGGTGTGAAAGGGGTCTGGCGCTTGACACAGGAAGACTGCGCCAGCCCCTACCATACACAGACGAAGGAGAAGGGGGTTAGACGAAGAAGGGGGGAAGATGGGAATGTCGTCAACACCAAGTCTTCGGCACAGGCCCAAATAGTCCCTCGTCAAAATGTCTGAATCCCAAATGTCAAGTCTGGATCCAATGTCGTCAAGTCTCAGGTCATATCTCTCTCTCGTAGTCCACAGATACTGAGAAGTAGACAGCGAGAGGGGAAGAAGAGATGGTGGACTTAGAAGAGGAAGAAGAAGAACTCTCTCTCTCTCTCAGTCCAGTACTAACCTGTAAGGCTGGCGCCTTGGTGCATGTACCTCGAAGATGGAGCTGGAGCGATGGCGCCACAGGTAAGTACCACTGGCCTCCGCCAGTCATCTCTCTCCTATATCACTACTACTGCTACTACTATAGCGCCCAGCGCTGAAGACTACAGCTATGGCGCCCAGCGCTGAAGACTACCACTAGCGCTAAGCTGCCCTGGGCAGCGCTCCTCCTGAGTGCTGCTCCGCAATCCTGAAGACTACTCCTGACTACTGTCCAACCACCTACCCGTGAAGTGCATGGGAACCTCCTATGTACTACTCGGGTGCCTCCTGACTAAAGGCGAGGCAGTCCAGGAGGCTGCTCTTGCCAATGCCGAAAGGAGGCAGGGGCTGCCGCTGCAGCTACTGCTCAAGCTGTCGTGGGGAACAGGCTATTTCTGGCCCGTTCCCGAAACCCTGTTTTTGTGCCTGAGTCTTAGGGTCGGTCGAAACGACGAGGGCCTGAAAATGGCCCTCCGTTTCAGGCTGAAAAGCCTCTGGGCCTGAAAGGCACAGAAATAGGCTGAAAATGGAATAGGGCCTGCAGGCCTTCGTTTTTCAGTTTCAGGCTGAAACGACCGGGGCCTGTAAGCCCTATTTTCTAGGCTTTTAGGCTGAAAGTGCGGGACGGGCCCTGCAGGGCCCGTGTGGCTACGCAGTATGCCACACCCCCCCTCCTTGAAAGACCGAGCTTACCTGCGAGGGCGAAGCTGTCTATCTGAGGGAGGGACCACAGTCCGGGTGGGAGGGGCTGGTCGTGAAGTTTCCTGAGCTAACCTTTGCTTCTCATAATGCGCGTAGATCAGCGGTGCGGATGCTTTCAAATCTGCTCCTGAAATCCACCGAGTGTCGTCGCGATCGCATGCTTTGAATGTAACCTTGTACTGTCGCGGCTTGCTGCCGTACTTGCGATCGGTGATGACGCGTTCAACTTCCTGATGACCATCCATAGAAGGAGGGTCCTGCGATCGTCGGCCCGGAAAGTCGCCGCTCTTAGCTGGCGTGTATGTTGCCAGCTTTGAGGCATGAAAGACTGGATGGACCGTCAGATGCGGGGGGATGTTGATCACAAATGTTGGGCCATCGGGCTCATCGCCCGCGGCTGATGTTACAGGCCATGGTCCAAACCACTTGGGAAGCAGTTTGCGTGAGAGATGTCCTGTTCCAGTGCAAACTCTTCCGCGGAAACCCAAGCCAGGTCGTCGGCGTGGATGGGACATGGCAGCCGATGCCTGTTGGCTTGCTGCTGCATGCGGACTTGAGCCTTTAGCATATTCGCGCGGGCTTGAGCTTGCAATTCCCTGTACTTCCGGACGGAAGCGGGAGAGCAAGCGGCATCGATGTCAGCTGGTCGTGGGAGGAGAAGGTCCGCGAAGGTACGGCCTTTCCGTCCACCGTGGTCCAACTCGAATGGAGTCACGCCGATCGCCGGGTGCACCGAAGTGTTGTAGGCGAACTYGATGTCGGGGAGGCGGTCAACCCAATCTTTCCGGTCCGGACGGATGAGCGTACGAAGCATCATTTGAGCGGTCTGATGTGCCCGCTCGGTCTGCCCGTCTGTCTGTGGGTGCCGAGCCGAACTTGGCTTCATCTTCGTGTCGGACTCCTGCATGAGTGCAGTCCAAAATGCCGACATGAAGCGAGTGTCGCGGTCGCTGACTATGTCTTCTGGTACACCGTGGCCACAAATCCAACCGGTGTGCAAGAGGCGTGCCAGCTTGGGAGCCATGGAGTAGTACTTGCAAGGGAGAAAACGCGCGTACTTACTCAATCGGTCCACAACCGTGAGGATGCCGTCGTGCCCGAGCCGGTTGCGAGGGAAAGGCCGGTGACGTCCATGGCAATTGAGAGACCGGGTTCCTGTGGGATAGGCATCGGGCGTAACTTGCCATAGGGATTGCGGTTGCATGGGTTGCTGCGTCGGCGAACTTCGCAAGAGTCGCAATACCGAGTGATATCGGTAATGAGGTCAGGCCATCGGAATCGTTGTCGAAGCCCTGCAATAGTGCGGTTGACTCCGAAATGGCCGGCAAGTCGCGAGTCATGGTACTGCCCGAGAAGGCGAGTCCGAAGACGACAGTCTCGTGGGACACATAATAAGTACCCGTCGACAATGCGATAGTGGCTGGCCGGCGGGTGATCCGAAGATAACTGCGCATACAACGTGGCGAAGTCCGGATCTGACTCATATCCCCGGATGAAGTGTCGCTGAAGCTCCTTGTCGAATTCGAAGGCATGATGTGTCATAGCGCAAAGATCAGGTCTTCGCGAGAGTGCATCTGCTGCGCGATTGGAGAGGCCGGGAAGATGTTTCGGTGTGAAGTCAAATTGGTCGATGAAGTACATCCATCGGCCGATCGTGCTGCTCACCGTATCCTGCGTCTTGTAGTAGGTCAATGGATTGTTGTCCGTAACCCATATGAACCTACGACGCCCAAGGAGGAAGTGCCGCCATCGCTTGAGAGCCATGACGAACGCGAGTAGCTCCTTCTTCCTTGCATCATCAAGCGAGTTGATGGGAGGCACTTTGTCGCTGAAATACTCCACAGTGTGCCAGTCATCGCCGTTGTGCTGTTCCAAGACTGCCCCAATGCCATAGCCGGAAGCGTCCGTAGTCACTCTCGTCTGCAAGGTGGGGTCATAGATGCTAAGGACAGGTGCCATGAGCATAGCCGTCTTAAGTGCTTGGAATGACCGGCGTGCGTCGTCATCGAATACGAATGGCACCTTTGGCGATTGTAATCGCGTCATAGGTTCAACAATCCTGCAGTATCCGATGATGAATCACTGATAGTAGCCCGCCAATCCCATGAATGAACGAACGTTTGTGGTGTTGGTGGGCTCGGGCCATACTCGTAGGGCCTCGATCTTGTCCGCAAGCGGACGGATGCCTTGCGGCATCACATAATGTCCCAAGTACTCGAGCTCCTGCCGCGCGAATTCGCATTTGTCGCGGTTGGCCTTGTACTTGGCTTGTCGTAGCCGCTCGAAAACGGTGCGCAGATGTTCCACATGCTCGTCCAAACTCCGGCTGTTGACCAGGATGTTGTCGAGGTAGATAAGTACGAAACGATCCAGCATGAGTCGGAACTCTGTTGTCATAGCCGCTTTGAAAGTGGCCGGGGCATTCGTAAGGCCAAATGGCATAACCAGCCATTCGAAATGCCCATATCGCGTCTTAAACTCGGTCTTGTAGCGATCCTCCTTGCGAATCTCGAGTTGGTGATAACCTGACTTGAGGTCCAGCTTGGAGAAGAACTTGGCGCCGCCCAGTCGCTCGAGAAGATCGTCGATGCGTGGGAGAGGGCCGACGTTTCTGATCGTTTGCGCGTTGAGCTTGCGATAATCGATGCACAACCGGAAATCCTTGTTCTTCTTCCAGACGAAGAGAACAGGCGCACCGTATGGCGATGAGCTAGGCCGAATCCAGCCTTTCTCTAGAAGGTCGTCGAGTTGTGCCCGAAGCACACTTAACTCTTCTTCGCTCATTCGGTAGATGCAACCGTGCGGAGGTACGGCCCCGTCCTCGAGGATGATCTCGTGGCGGATGGGCCTATCCGGTACTACTCCATGCGGGCCTTCGAACACGTCGATGTAGGCGTCGAGAAGCTCGGTGATGCGTGCATCCGAAGAAGAGTCCGTCGATGCAGCGTCATGGGGCGGGAGGGCGTGGAGAAAACACACCCCCATCTCCTCGATGTCGTCTCTGATGATGGAAGCTTGTATGCTTGCGGCGGATACCACGTGGCAGCTGATCGAAGGATGAGGAAGGGGCACCGTGCAGGGGACTAGTACTCCGGTCCGATCACGAACGTGAACGGTGCGGTTGTAGAAGTTCACCGGGTGATCCTCGCTTCGCAGCCATGACATGCCCAAGATCATGTGGAATTTGGTGCTCAGAATGTCAAAGGACACCGCCTCACTTGCGTGAGGGGCAAAGTACACTGGGACGTCATCAATGCACCGTTCGATTGACTTGTGCGTGTGACCGTCCGCCAACGTGACTTGCGTAGGTTGGGACTTCCTCCGAACGCGTGGGCCAATGCCGGCGCGCACCATGAAGTCCTGGCTGATGTAGTTGCGAGATGCTCCGCAATCAATCAAAGCGCTGCAGGTTGCCTCTCCGATCTGAATGCGTTTATATAGCAATGGTGCGTCGATGTCGTCGTACCGTTGCATCTTGAACTCGCGGTCGATCTTCGCAATGTAGGCGTGAAGGTCGACAACCTCTACTCCGGCATCCATCAACGGAGTCGGTACTGCAGTGTGCAAGTTATCCCGCAATTGTGCCATGAGCACGTTGCAATGCGGTTTCGGCAATCGACCGGTCGGGGGAACGGGCATTCATTGGAAGTCCGTGAATGTCAATGGGTCGAGCTCTTCAAGTCTTGACCATGACGTCGAATCCCCGACGATAGATGACGGCGAAGGTGCCGAATCGATTGCTAATGGTGATAAAACCGTGCATGCGCGTGGCCACGATCTTCTGCCAATTCGTGAGCCAGTCACGTGTCTGTGTGATCCCTTGAGCCATCGTGAAGATGCGGTTGATGGCGAGTGTCGAGGCGTCATCGACGATGAACCGCTTCTTCCATTCCTTTGTCATATCCTCCCAGGAGACCACCTTGTGCAGGTCTGAAACCTGGACGCCATGGATGGTTGCCATGTGGCTGAGCCAGATCTGACATCCTCCCTTGGTGTTGATGAACAGAGCGCTGATGAACAGATGGTCGGGGACCTCGTGAATCCCCAACTCCGTTGTAAATCCTTGCCACCAGACGACCGGGTCTTGATGTGTGTAGTCATCAAATTTCCGATCCGAAACCTTGGCATCTTGTAAGGCCTCGCCGAGCTGTTGTTGTTGCTGTGGTCAGTCTGCTGTTGCTGACTGATCTTGGCGTCTAGCACATCGAACCGCTGGCTGATGGTGGCCGGCGCTGCAAAGGCACTGATGTCTCCTAGCATTGCCACTACGTGGTCAACGCGTTCCTCCAGTTGGCGGGCAGATGGTGCACTGCTGGATTCACCAGCCTCTGGTCTTGGTGGAACTTGTTCCAAGTCCTGTACACGGGCGTCAAGTGCCCGTGTGGCATCTTCGTGCTGAGCCTTATGGTTCCGCACGGCCCGCTGGAGGTTCGCCAGCTTGGACTGCAGGTGGTTACAAGTGTAAACCAGCCTGGTCATGAGTTTGGCCATGAACTCCTTGTGCAGCTCCTCCAGTGTCGCGTCGTCGTCGTTGGAGGGTTCAAAGTGCCAGAACTTGAGTCTTTCGATGCTGGCTGCTTCATGCCGCTGCAGAAGATCCTGGGCTTCCTTGCGGCGAGCCTGGGTGTCTGTGTCTGCTTCGGCCTGTAGCCGCTGCTTTTCAGCTGTTGCAGCTGCTTCAGCCTGTAGGCGGGCAGCCTCGGCTGCTAGCTGGCGCTGTTCCTCAGCCTTGATCAGAGTGATCTGAGCCTTGAACCGCTGTTTGTAGTCGGCCAGAGACTCGTTGGCCAGTTGGCCTGGCATGCCCAGAGGTGCGCCCGTCATGGTGGCGGGGCACTGCTGACGTGGCACTGCTGACGTGGCACTGTTGCTGACGTGGCACTGCTGATGACGTGGCACTGCTGACGTGGCACTGTGTGATGTGGCACTGCTGACGTGGCACTGCTTACATGGCACTGTTGCTGCCGTGGCACTGCTGATGTGGCACTGCTGACGTGGCACTGCTGACGTGGCACTGCTGATGTGGCACTGCTGATGTGGCACTGCTGATGTGGCACTGCTGACGTGGCACTGCTTACGTGGCACTGTTCCAACCCGGAAATGCATGCAAAGGGGTGGGTGGGAGGGAAAACGTAGGTGGGCAACCAACCCAACAATACTTTCCTACGGCCTTAATCAACAGATTAAAAAAAAAAAAAAAAAAAGAGGACTACTTCCTTTTTTTTTTTTTTTTTTTTTTTTGTATATCTGTCGATCTGTTATGATTGAGACACGTCAGAATAGTACTATGAACGAGATCTAGGCTAGGTTCCGCAAAGTTTCGGCTTTCACAAAATGCGATCTTGAAAAAAAAAATATTGCGAAATAGAGTAGAGATGCGATTTTCAGAAAAGAACTAAATCCCGTTTCTGAGAATATGACAACCTCCTACTATGCCTAAAATGCCATGCTGATAGGCTCCGCAAGATTTCAGTTTTCAAAAAAAATTTGCGAGATAGAATGGAAATTCGATTTTCAGAACAGAATAAATCCGGTTTCCGAGAATATGACCATTTCTATCGTTATCCTACTATGCCTAGAAAACGAAATACTAACGTCAGAAATTTTGGCTATGTATCAAATATCAGAAATTTCGGATTTTAATATCAGAGAAACGAACTGTTACTTCAGAACTTCCAGATATTTGTTGCGTAAAAAACGAAGAGCTAACATCGGAATTTCAGATAAAACGAAATGCTATTACGAGAAATTTCAGATGTTTGTTGCGTAAAAAGTATTAAAAACGAAATGCAAATATCAGGGATTTTCAGATTAAAAAATACGATTATCACAAATTTTCAGATATCCGTGAAAGAAAGAAAAAAAAAAAAATTTCTGAGATTTGACGAAGTCCTACTTGATTTACTACTGACTGATCAATAGATTAAGCAATCTACTTGATTACTGACTGATCAATAGATCAAGCAAGCTACTTGATTGAGCGGGTCCTCTGAATGAGAGGTCCGCTCCGATACCAAACTGTTGCATACCGTAAAGGTGCAGACAGAACAAGAACCGACCTCTCAATGCAAAGTACAAGATGGCGAAGCGGAAGACTTAGATACCAGTGATCCGAACAATCGATATTGCAATGCAGCCCTGAACATACATCATCATCATCATGCCATGGTGTGAAATGGCCCTCCGTTTCAGGCTGAAAAGCCTCTGGGCCTGAAAGAAATAGGCTGAAAACGGAATAGGGCCTGCAGGCCCTCGTTTTTTGGGCCACCCGCAAAAAATGGAGCCATAATGAGAAAAGTCAGATGCATCATTCTTCTCCCGACAGCACAGGTAAGAGCAGCGGCTAACGCTCTTTTGATCAACAATTCATCCATCGTTGGTCACAGAGGCACATTTTCGAATCCTTTACATGGTCTCTGCTTTATGTCAGAAGCTCACATATTCATTCATGCCTGCAAACTGTCTGTGCAGATTGCAGTCTTGGTTGGAGACCCTATCCCACTTGACGACCTGGTGCAGGGATACAGGAGTGGGCTCTGCACGCAAGCAGAGGGGTACAGGGCAGCGGCTGCCCGGGTGGGAAGAAAGGACGAACGAGCTGGCGGGGGAGCTGGATGCGAGGCTGGAGCATGCCGCCGTCCTTGAAGAACAGGCTGTGGGTAAGAATGAACTGGCTGGATGGACAGGGGTGCGGGAGTCCTGGGAGCTGCTGGACTGGGAGGGTCAGGGCGTGGGGGTGTTTGACACTGAAGCCCTCCTAGCGGGTAGCAGTGAGAACTCGTGCTGCGTTTCACTTCCTAGGCAGCTCGATAGCAGACCAGAGCTCAGTCCACAAGGAATGGAATCTCCATCAAGTACGCATGAGGCTTCTTCTCGCCACCGGTGTGGTAGTAAGCAGCCATTGGCTTTGACAATGCTTCAAAATGCTGCTTCTGGATTGCCGAGCACAACAATACATTCGGAGGAATCGGACGAGCTGCTGGCTGTTCCCAGTCGTAAGGCGCAGCAGCGTCAGGGAGAAAATAGGAATGGCATTGGCAGTTGCATGCAGACCGTGGACGATCGGTCAAAAACTTGTGCTTCTAAACTAAACAAAGGAGGGTTGAAACCGCGGGAAGAAGAGTCTGCACTTAGACGGGAAGCTAATTTCGTGGCCACCAGAGCTAGAAACATCTAATGGGCATAGCCTGGGTTTGAGTGGACATGGCCATTCTGTTCTCAATGGACAGAATGCAGCCGAATTTGATGACTGGGACACCTGGTTCAGCGAGCTTCACGAACTTGACTCATATCGTTGGGGCCGTTGGTCATCCAGTTCGAGGAATCGGACCGGGTAGGATATGATGGGATTTGCCTCAAAAGGGCTTTCTGGAAGAAGGAATGGAGTGTTACCGCAGGGGCTCTCGCGAGGGTTCTCGAAGAGATGTGATGAGGCGGCAGATGTCGTTCGTCAAGAGGACTCGGATCCGTTAAGCGAACCCAGGAAAAAAGGTGTGGACATGGCCAAACTGGACTCCTCTTCTGGAAAATGGCGGGTGGGATTTATTTACCGTGATCTCCGAGAACAGAAGGTGTGCAAGAGGCCCAGCTGGCGTGTCATCGACTTGCTGCGCTCTGATCCGGCGGTTGAGTCGCTTGGCTTGGTGAGTAGCTCGCGTGCTTCTTCTTTCTGCTCTGCCAGCGGAAGAAAAATGTCTCTCGCATAAGTTTTCCGTTCTTATGAACCTTTCTGAATTTCTGACAGCAAGCGCAGTGGATAACTATGTGGGTTGTGGACCATCTGGATTGTGAAGCTCTGGAGATGGAAACGATCATGAACTGTTGGGCGAGACCATGCGTATTTTAGAAAACCAGTTCAGGGCTCAGTTAGGTTTTTGGTAATGAAGCTGACAGTACGGGCCAGTGATTCCGGGCTCCTGACAATATGACTCTCATCGCCATCAGCCCAGTCAAAGATCAACAGACTCGTCTTCCCTGTCGAGTTTGCAGGTGTGACGACTGACTTTCAGTTGCAAAGTTGGGAGCTCAAGGAGCGTGGCAATACTTGCAGAACTGACCGTGGGAGAACGCAGTTCCACCTCGCATGTTGTCGATTTTGCATGGCCTTCTGCACACCTCCTACTCCCCTGCAACAGCACTCAAGCGCGCGTACGAAGTGGGAAAAAGAGGGGGGTACGAATGTGACAGAGAAGTACGGCTTGACATTGTTAACAGCATGTGGGGGTGTGGTGGGGGGAAGAAGGTGCCAAAAGGGGTAAGCAATGGTTGAGAGAGGTTCAGCTTTGTATCACACTGTCACATTGATCGCTTCGCTCTGTTCCTCTGGTTTGATTGCTTGGCTCGCTCCAATAGTGCCAGAGTTTCAGTTCTGTAGGAGGTACTCTGCTGGCGATTTGTCTGTACCAAGTCGATGTGTTACATGCCACAGCTTCAACCTCCTGCCAGTGTGTGAGTAAGACATCACTGATGTTGGGGCACTAAATTTATCCCTTGTTGACAATACTGATAATGCATAACCGGGAGGAGAGAAGGTGGGGATCGGAGCCACGTGCACATGTCACACAAGGGGCACTCTCCTGCAGTATAAGTCTGTTAGTGTTGTTTGCAGTTTTGGTAGGAGGTGCGGACGGATATTTGTGTGAGGAAGTGATACAGTGATGAATTGTTGACAGGTCGGGAAGAGCATGAAGTTCGATAGGCATGCTTCCCTCTCTCTCTCCCCCCTTCTCTCTCTCCCCTCCTCTCTCTCTTGTGTGAGTGCCATCTGCGTAAGTGCCTGTTATATCTGGCTGCCAATGGTTGTGCACAGGTATGCACTTGCATTTGACAAAGTGCATAGGTATGTAGTTGTAGGCAGGGGTGCCAAACTGCTTTTCCGCCAGTTCACTGTTCCTAAAAAACAAGAAGCATATGGGAGGCTAGGATTGCCGCGCGCTGTTCTCTGTGGGTGCATGCATGTAGCATATCAGAAAGTGAAATGCACTGAAAGCCTAGGATCTAGCAATGACGAAAGTGGCAACAACCAGCAGCATAGGTGCAACATTCACAACGTGTCAATGTGCGCGACGCAAAGAGTGCAACAACGGGAAATCAATAACAACACATTCGTATCATCATCATCATAGGCTGGGAAGCAGCGCAGCGGAAGATCTAGTATCAAAGGACACGTGGACAACAACATGAAAGGAAGAAACTTCGGAAGGGCAAGACACCAGAAAGATTGCCCTTCCACTCACACACATGGTGAGAGATCCATAGACATGCGAGAGAGAAGGGGGAGGGACATAGAGGTAGCCAAGTCCAACCCAAGTCTGATCTCCGAATGTCG